AATTATTTTAAATGCTACTGAAAAGAGCATGCCAGAGTAAATTCAGCAGAAATGTAAACATTTCATACACTAATGCAATTACAAAAAGAAACTATATATAACAAGTAGTAGATGGTATTCTTTTTCTGACTGTGTAGAACCTTTAAGGAGTCTTGTCTTCCCAAGATGGAAACCATGAAATGCTCTGCACCAGCCTCCTTTACAGCTAAGATTCATGCAGGTAACCCAACCAGATAGATCCATTCAGTAATATATATGAAAACCTGAGCTCTGAGGCAAAGCTCATTTTGCTAGCAAGGGTGGCACTAGAGGCATCTGGCTTGGAAGGGCTGAGTTCTCAACATAAAAGGAGATATTTTAAAAATTCTAAGTATGTATCCTAGTGACATTCAAGAGAATACGTCTATAAAATTAAACATGCCACAATATAGAGCCATCAGGGACCAAGGGAAATTAAAATTATTACTTTAGTCATTGTAATGGCTTATATCTAAATGTCCCCCAAAGGCCACTGTTGGGCCTTCTGGGAGGTGACTAGATCATAGGGACGTGATTACTCCTCTGATGAGTTTATAGTTAAACGTGATGTTAGGAGGAGGTAGGTCACTTGGGCTGTGGCCTCGAAGGGTCTCTCTCCTTCCTTCCTCCCTTGAGTCCCCTCTACTTCCTGCCTGCAACGCGATGAGCAATCCCCTTCTGCCCCTCTGCCCTGCAGCCCTGCCTTTGAGCAGGCAGACTAATGGACTGAACCTCTACAAACTGTGAGCCAAAACAAACCTTTGCTCCTCTAAATTATGGGTGTTGGGTATTGTGTCTCAGTGATGAGAAAGTACCCCAAACGGTCATCTTCTCTAAGTTGTACAGGCATTTTTCAACGATGTACCTATAAAGGGAAAGGCATATTTGGAAACACAGAGGCTTGAAAGAACATAGAGGATTTGAGAAACAGCAAGAAGTTTGATACAATTTAAGGAAAGAGTAAACAGACCCCTTCCTTCAAGTTTTCCTAAAGTCTTCCTGCTTCACTAATCTTCCTCTGAGTCTCTGTTCCAATGAATCACCATCTATTTTGCTTTATAGAAGCTCTGTATGTTTTTAAATGTTTAGTTTCCATACTAGATAATAAGATGACTTGTAGAAAGAACTCTCAACAAATTGTTCTAAAAACAGTAAGAATTATTAAAAAAAAAAAAAAAAAGTGAGAGGGCCACAAGGCTAAGCAGCAGAATAAACATGATAGACGCTCAGTTTGGAAAACAGTAAAATGAGCCCATCTGAGTAAAGTGACCAAAAAAAGATGATTATAAGAAAACTGAGCTTATGACCAGGAACAAAGACTCGTAAGGCCATCCATATACAGCAGATACTATCTACTAACAAACCCGAGTGTCTTTTCTAATGCTCTTATTCCACGCCTACCTGTGCTACAAAACTGGAAAGTAAAATACCTGCTCCCTCTTCCCCACTTCAGCAATGTCACAATACATATGGCTCCAGGGCACAGCTCGGCGAGATGCAAAGTGAAGTCACGGGGACACAGTACCCTCCCAAACGAGAAGACAAAGCCTCAGAGAAGTGTCTCTTTGCCCTTTCTTCTTCCTGCCTGGAAAATGGATCCATCATGTCCAGATATGGCAGCAAACAGTACAAACCTAATGAAAAAGCCATTCTAAGCACATGAAATGAGAACACAGGAAGACAGGAGCTGCTCATACCTGATTCCTTGTTAGTGAAGGAAAATAAACTCCTTACTTGTTTAAGACACTGTTTACAAAGCTTTCTATTATGTTCAGCCACTCACGTTCCCAAGCAATACCCCACTTTGTAGTATCTTGCAAGGAGGGAAAAGCGATGATGGGAGGGAAAAAAACTACTAGAAGAAAGATTTGAACCATCAGAAGGCAAAGTCCTGTGAGGTGCCAAACCAGGACAAAATTGTTTTTAAAGACTCATATAAATACAGCCTGATAAAATTAGTGAATCAAAAAATACAGAAAATGCTACATGCTTCCAGAAAGAAAGGATTTTGCATCTAGGATTTAGTTGCCACTCAAACTATTATTCAAGTGAAAGAAAAATTTTTAAATAAAATTAACATTCAAAAGTTATCCACATACCACCACACCTTGGAGGACAACTTTTCTAAAATTCCAGGCAAATTTGTTAACAAATTTTTGAGAGTTCTGCAAACTTATTAACAAATTTCACAAAAATTATTTAAACATACAAATAATTAGTCGAGTCAAAATACACAGTTAATGATGAGGCTAAAGATGTTGGCTAAATTTAGTTGAGAAAGGCTCCACAAGGTAAGATACTGTTTCTAAAGGTAAAGGTAAAAATTTACAATATTTTGAAACTAAAATTCCAGACAATTTCAATAAATCTTGGTGGGAAGGAAAAGGGAAAAAAGGAAAATAAAAACATAAAAATGATCCAACCTTGTAAAATATGAGATTTTTTAAAAACTAATTTCTTAAATTGAAAAAAAATATATATATATATGTTTTTTGTTTTTTTTTTTTGGTTTTTTTTCTAGTACCTGGAATCTAAGTCACAACATTGCACTTGCCAGGTAGGCGCTGTGCTACTGAGCTAAATCCCCAGCCCCGCAAAAAATATATTTTAATGTATGTTAAAAACATGAGGGATAATAGCACAGGCCAGAAACAAGATATTGAATTTCCAAGCCACAAGAGGGGAAGGAGGTAAAAAAATAAATAAATAAAACATATAATGTGAATCAGGAAAAGTTCCAAGAAATTATCAGTGGTCAGAATAAGTGAAATATCATTAAAGTATAAATGATAAGCAAATAATAACAGAAGATAAACAATTAAAAATAGAGACAACAAAAATACTAACCATAGTGCACAGTATTTAAAAGAGCTACTTAAAACTGAAATTAGAGTTTAAAACATAAATATCAGCAAAAATAATAAGTAAAAAATGATATTAATAATAATGAGAGAGTAAAGCATTCCTAGAATGCGTACAGAAGATCGATCGTGCCATGGTTGGACCTCCAGAGAGACTGCACAGCAGCTTGCTCAACTTCACAAGTAATAACAAAACCAGGAATGAAATCCGGGTCTCTTAATTCTTATTGTTATCTAAACTTTTGATAATAAAATAAGCAAATTACCATGAACAGCAAAGCTAAAGTACTTCAGGACTGCATGGGCATTGAGAGTGTGCCTCACCCAAATCTTCCTCTACTCCTAGACACAGCCCCTGCTGGACGCTCCCCATGTCAGAAGAGATTATTCAGAGGTTATAAAGTGATATTCCACAGATTTGCTTTTGGTTTGGCATGGAATGGGGCACATTCTGTTTGCCCACATAGAATTTCTTTAATGTAACTAGTTGTTAGTATTTAAAATGTCTACTGTTCCCCATTTAAAAAATCTAAATTTCTACATTCTCCCCAACCCCCCAAATCAGAGGGTCCCGCAGCTCTGGGCTGGGGCTTTCACATAATAGCCACTTGCTAATGCAGAGTGTTCATTCCCACTGGCCTGGTCCCATCACCACCACCGGCCCCAGATATCCCTGCATACGCACTGCCGTGTAAGCGCTCAACCTCTGTCTGCAGGTGGCTGCCTAGACACAGAAGCTGTGGTCAGGATTCTTATTCAAGCAATTTCCTGGAGGTGTGCCTTCCAGAGCAGGGGCATGAGGCAAATAGGCTAGGTCAAGGGTCCAAACCAAAGCCAGGATATGGTCTTGTTGAAGAGCAACATTGGTCTGATCCTTGGATAGCACCACAGAACTGACCCCCTCAAAACAAGGGACCTGCAGTGGGGAGAAATGGTATGCTGGGCCACTTGCTTCCTGTTCGGCTTGGGAAGGGGACAGCTGTGCTCTCCCAGCACAGGGCAAGGGGACTGACACAAAAGAAGGTGCCAGCTGAAAGACCTAGGCAGGGTTCCTGCAGCCCTCATTCCATTGTCTCCAGTGAACACAGGGAAATAAAAGCTGGATGACAGGGCTAAGTGCTTTGGGGCATACAGGAAGGTATATTCCTTTGTAAAAGTAAAGAACATTCCTACAAGATTAAAACGTAAATATGTACAAACGCTGGGCCATTCCACTCCTTATGGCACCTTCCCTGGCCCTACAAATATATAATTGCATCTGACCCTTACATTACCTGCTACTTTCCAATCAGCGCAGTCTAAGGCTTTTCCGGAACCAAGTAGTCATGATGAACTGGGAAGCAGCAACATGGTGAACTTTAGGATCACTAAAGACTACATTGAAATACAATGGAGCCAGCGTGGGGATATTAATAAAAGGATACAGAGAAGCATGGTCATGCACCACTGCCCATCACATCACAAGCAGAGGTTATTACTGTGACAACCAATGCATAGTCACTCTTATAAGGACTTCATTCTTGACAGTTGTCTTAGTTACTCTTCTGAGACAAAATACCCAGTGGCCAAAGTTAAGGGAGGAAAGGTTTATTTAGCTCACAGTTTGTAGAGGTTTCAGTCCGTAAACAGCTGGTTCCAAGGGAGGATGGCATGACAAACAGGCATCGCAGAGGAGAAACAGTTCATGGAGGGCAGAAGATAGCAAAGCAAGCAAGGAAAGGGGGAGACAAGCCTCTTTCTGTCTGTCATATTGTATTCAGTCTACCATGATTAGAGCCATGCCAATCCAATCAGTGGACTGATCCAGCAATCACCCCTTAATCCCAACATTGCTCTATGAATCAATCACATACTCTAGATTCAGCCACCTCTGAAAAAACCCTATGACCACATGAGGCTTGGGGGTGGGTGGCATCTGGACACAAACCATAACAGTCAATAATGAATTAACCAACAATACCTTTTACAACAAAAATAAATGTATGAGACAGGATTTTTTAAAATCACAGAATATTACTTCATAAACTGCCAAATTAGAAATCTGTGCTAAGGAGTTGACAAAATTATAAGAAAACCAAACTTAAGGAGTGTAGAAGTCATTGACGATCAGAGTTTACATACCTCAGAACCGGACAGCCCCAAATCTCTATCGTCTATGTCCTTCAAAAGTTCTTCCAGCCTCTTCTTTTCTGTGTCACTCATAGGCACTGGGCTTCTGGATTTCCTGGCTAGCTACAGAATTTATAAATGCAAGATAGGAAGTACTCAATGGAATTTGTGGTTCAAAAAAATTAAAATGGGATCTGAAGTTTCTATAACAGACACACGATGATAAAATGTATCAGATTAGGCAATTTACATTTGCTAATTTTACTTTATGTAAATTTATTAGTATATATTCATGATACATAGTAATTACATTAGCTTTAAGGAACTAATTTTTTTATTATCCCTCCATCTCCAAAAAGTCTACCTCTTTGTTTCCTAAAACTCTCCTTTTTAAATTATTTGTATCTTTGGACTGCCATTTAAGAGAAACCATGCAATATTTAATCTGTGTCTGATTTATTTCACTTAACATTATGGTCTCCAGATGTATCTATTTTTCTATAAATGACTCAAATTTATCCTTCTTTATGGGTGAATAATACTCCATTGGGTATACATCTGCTGATGGGCATATAGGCTGTTGCTATAATTTAGTTACTGTAAATTCCACTGCTATAAAATGAGTGTACATGTATTATTGTATAATGATGACTTTAATTCTTCTAGGAAAATACCCAGGAGGGTATAGCTGGGTCAAATGAATTTTTATTTTTAGTAGTTTTAGAAATCACTATACTGATTTCCATCATGTTGTACTAACTTACGTTCCCACCAGTGATGTAGAAGGTTCCTTTTCCCCTACATCCTTGCCAACATTTGTTGATTTTTTAGTCCTTGACAGTTGCCATTCTTGCTGGAGGAGGGAATTTCAGTGCTGCTTTGATTTGCATTTCCCTGACGTCAGTTTGCTCTGCATCACTGTCCCACTGGCCTTCAACACAGAGGACTTACTCCTTGCTTTTTGTTCTGTTCCCCCAGAAATGGGAGGTGTGGTCTTTCTCTGACTCTTTGAACTCCTCTGTGCCAGTCTCCTGAAGGTCCCACTCTAATCAGTCCCATCAACAAGTGATAACCCTCTCCTCCCTGTCACATGGTGGCATCAGAGCCACAGGTGTGGATGATTTTTGTGCCTAGGCAAAGGCCGGTACTCACGATGGCTTCCCATCCAGATTCTGCTCCAGTCTCTTTTAATGAGGCAAAGAGCAAAGCAAGGGGGACTAAGATGGTTCCTGACCTGGTCCTACCCCAGTCCTGGGCTACAGAATGGGAATTATCTCTGCCCTCTGATCACTTCGCTTCAGTCAGAGCTCCCACTTGCACAAGTGTTTCTCCATCCTGAGCTGGATCCACCTGCGGTGAGTGCTGTCTTTCTTTTGACAGGTGCATGGGAGAAAAAAATACCCCTACCCTGGTGAGCCATCACTTCTCTGGTGCTTGGGTGCGGTGTTTCAGTAGATCCCTTTTTCTTCCTAATCACGCCTTTCTGAATGTCACGCAATTACTTTCCCTTCCAGGTTGTAATTGTGCCAATATTGGTGTACCCAATTTCCTTTCAGAGCTACATACCTGTTGGTTTTGGAAGATTATGACAAAACCATCTGTGAACTGGTGTTCCCTCTAGGCAGCCCTCTCCCTGAGTCCCTTATGCCAAATTTTTTGCAATGGGCCATTCTCTAAGCAAAGGCATTTCCATGTTAAGCAAGCCACTGGCCATCTTAACCACTTCAACAAAGCATTTTATAAAAATAATAAAAAAATCCCAGCACTGGGGAAAACTGAGGCAGGAGGATTGTAAATTCAAGCCCAGCCTGGGCAACTTAGTGAGACCCTCTCTCAAAATTTTAAAAAAAAGAAAAAGAAAAAGAAAAAAGGGCTGGAGATATAGCTCAATGCAAAGGCCCCGGGTTCAATCCCAAGTAAGGCAAAAATGACAATAATAATAAAGTATGAGCAGTTTTCAAATATCTCTCCTTGATTAGTTTGGATATGCCTGAAGGACAGCTGGGTCAGGCTGCAGGATCTGCAGGATCAAGGATGAGCTCCTGAGGCAGGAAGCTAATCAAGGACAATAACAGGTACCAAGAGGCTCACTCTGGGGGCTTCACCAGCCCCACCCCTGCTGCTCTGCCAGGAGCATTTTCCATTACATTTCTGAATACACCAGCTACACAGTCATTCTTATTACTTTAAAAAAAAAAAACAAACAACAACAACAACAAAAAAAAAACAGTGTTACTAATACACTGCTTAAAATCTGGGAAACACTGTCCAAAGCTATTACGTATCTAAATAAATGTTATTTCAAATTGCAAGGAGCAGACTATTTCTGTGGCAAAATAAACACTCGTTGCAATATTTTTTTAAAGGGAAGAAAGGAAAGGCAAGGGGAGGAAAGAAGAGGAAAGAAAAGGAGAAGAAAAGGGTGGGATAAGCTGGTGATGTGTGTATCTCAGGGGTAGAGTGCCTCCCTGTCATGCACGAGGTTCTTGGTTTGATCCCCAGTACCACACAAAAAAGCAGGGTAGAAAAAACAGGGTATAAAAGTGAATGTAAGTACCAGTTCATGAAATTTTTCTTGAAAGAAAACTAAAGTTCTATATACTGCTTCAATGATGCATGCATTAATTGTGAATGAAAAATGTAAAGACCTTGAACACATTATTACCAATTTTGTGACTCATTTAGTCTCACACTGTGGTTCTTTATTTCTAAGTACCTACCTCAATGTTTCGCTTAACAAAATCCTGGTTGTGTTTACCCCTGAGCTCAATCTTTTCTGTTTTTGAGAAAGGTTTCTTTTCTGCTTTGATCAATGACTCATTCCTTTCCACATCATAGGTAAAATCTATTATTAAAAAAGTTCAAATTGTTTTCATAATTACAATTGTGCATCATACTAAAAATTCACTTTGAGCATATATTAAAATATGTAAGAAAACAAACACACAATGGCTAACTTCTAAATTCCAAATCCAGAAACCTAATACAGTATACTTTTTTCTCATAAGGATAAATGTGCTACTATAATGTCTAAATGCAGTTCTCTTTAAACTTCCTGTGCTAGTATCATGTATGAAACTTCTTGCTGTTGATTCCTTGAGAATGACAGGAAATACAAACAGAACTGGAAGTCATTCACATGAACAAGGAATCTCTCATATTATGAAGATCTTTAAAATATATTTTATCTTTATATGAAACAAAACATCCCCCAAAGATTAGAGTCTATTCCTACTATTTTAAGAGTTTGCCATCTTTCTTTCCTTCTCAAGAATAAGCTTTTTGCTCAACACTGGACATAGTGACCTGGCTGTTTGCATCTCTTTTGGACAAATTCCTATAGCCCTCGGTTTGTCCCCTCCCTCAGCCTCGAGTAACCTCAGACACTTAGAACCTCAGTGCTCAAAACAAAGGTAAAAAGAATACTTGTAGACTTTTATTCCTCTTATTAAACACCTTTTCACTGAGTAATATTTAAAGATTTTAAAACAAGAGCATGTGAATCCTTCATTAAAGTTCCAAAATATGCACAGCCTCCCTAAATGACAAATGGAACTTACCCTACAAAATGGAAAAAAATGCCACCTACCCTGATTGACATTTTGCAAACCATTTTCATAATGTCCTGGAGGGACTTGAGTATGAAGTCCAAAAAGGAAAAAACACCAGTCAGTAGTTCAATCCAGCCTCCGTTTACTTTAAATTTACCTTTGATTTATCAGAGAAGTTACCTCGATTAAAAAAAGATTAAGGGAACCAACCAGTTGGTTTACTTATAGATAATTATCAGATTATTGATAATAATCAATACTGATTTGTTTGTGGGATTTTTTGTTTTGTTTTGTTTTTTGTTTGTTTTATTTTTAGAGGCAGGGTCTTGCTATGTAGTTTAAGATGGCCTTGAATTCACCGTGGAGCTCAGGCTGGCTTCAAACTCACAGCAAGCAATCCTCCTGCCTCACCCTCTCAAGTACTATGATTATAGGCATGTGCTATCATGCCTGGCTTCAATACAGATTTAAACTTTGATGCAAATAGCTAGAAAGAAATAGAAAAGAAGTGAGATCCCCAAATTTAAATTCTATTCAAGCAGAAGTTAGCATTTAACTAAAATTTAAGATATGTTTCTAGGCAAATAAACCCCTGTATCATAATTGGGATTTTATTTATTAATCACATAATTACTACCAATACATACTACCAATATGTAAAGTATGAATTAAGTTTTTTTGATAAATGGTCACTTTAGATATAAAAATATATCACTTTTTCCACCATTTAAATTGCCTATTGTCTGTTAAATTGAAATCAGTTGAAGTTTCATATACACTTAAAAATATAGCAATAACTCAAATGCAGCTATTTCTATATTTATAATAGGATTTCTTTAAGACATAGTTTTAATAAATTATAGAGTAACAACACTAGATTATCTGACCTAAACTGTCTCATTAGAAATGTCCCCTTCTCCTGTCCTGTGTGGTGGAGATGCCCCAGGAGTCTCCATGATCTCACAGTGACATCAACCCTTCCTGGGTTGGACAAGTTGGTTGGACGAGGGGTAGGCACCTGATCCAAGCTGGTTACTCCTCTGTTGTAGGATTCTGGAACTGGGCCTTCCTCACAATGACTAACCACAGGATACACTCCTGGGAACCAAAGCAATGTGTCTGCCACTAAGATCCTTCCCATCATTTTGTATCTTAAGCCCAGTTTCCATTACCTGCAGCCAGCTTTTCTCTTTAACTCTTACACAAAATTTCAACCATCCAAAGTGCAGAGAATGGTACAATGAGTTCTCAACTTTAGTGAAGATCGACTCAGGACCAATTGTATATCCTCGTGAACCCTTCTTCTTTCACTTACTTCTACATACAATATATCAAATCATGACATCCACAAATATCTCTAGATACAGTGAGTATTCTATTATTACACTATATACAATCACATAAATTAAATAAAACCTACCCTGATTGACATTTTGCGTACCATTTTCATAATGTTCCGGAGGGACTTGAGTATGAAACACTGAGAAAATGGTGTCTTCATCTTCAGAACGAGAGGGACCTGATTTTTAAAAATCAGTTGTTTAATAGAAAAATCAAGATTTGTCTACACAGTTGTGCTTTAAGAAGAGATCAGATCTAATATCCTCTGTAATATTGATGAATCCCCTCTATACAAACAAAATTTTTAAAACAATGTCAGTGTCATCTCTAAGTAGAAGTGACAAGTATCTTTGTATATATGAGTCACTGAAACAAACTACAGGAGTCAAGAAAGTCAGACAGTATTTCCCTAAAACTTAATCACAAAAAAGGATTGAGAATGTGCTAAAATATTACATTAACTCTCCAGAGATGATGTACTCAAACCCTAATGTTAACAATACTGAGAATAAGCAAACCAAGTAGCTGTAATTGTGTTTTTCTTTTTTCTTTTAGATTCCCCAGGTGAAGATTTCAAATATACAGTCAGTCATTAAGAAAAAAGAATGTGAAGTCAGGCCTAGTGGTACATGCTTAGAATCCCAGCACTCAGACAGGCTGAGACAGAAGAACTGCAAATTTGAGCACTTCCTTACCTTGCGTGACTCAGTGAAAACTTGTCTCAAAATTAAAAATTTTAAAAAGACTTGGGATGTAGCTCAGTGTAAATGCCCTGGATTCAATATTTAGTACTAGGGGGCGGGGAACCCAAACACAACAACAATATAAAAAAGTATGTTTGAAAGGCAAATTTTGGAAGACTCTCAATAGTTAGGCTTCTTCTTCTGTGATTTATTCTCTTGAGCTAGTCTCCATAAGAAAATAGAAAATCAAAGCATTGTCTTTTGAAAGAGTTTACCTTCTTACATCCTCAAGCCCGGAAAGGCTGGGGTCTGGTCAACTCCTGGGATGCCTTAAACCATCTTCTTAAATCCTGATGCAAAATAATTGGCTTTTTAAAAAATGCTAATCTATTCAGCAACCATACTCTCCCTTGCCCCAACTCTATAGGCACTTCCTTCTGGTGCAAACTTTTCAGCTCTGCTTTTTGCTATTGATTCTCATTGTCAGTCTAGCTAAGAGCAGTTAGCAGTATCCATGCCATGGCCTGAACATTGGGTTGTGTTAAAATTTCTTCCACCAGATCAATTAGGCCACCACCCTTCATCTCAGTCCCCTGCAAAGTCTGAGGACATGGAGAAATGACGACAAATTTTCTGCCAAAGTATCACATTTGTGGCCTCTAATCCAAATGTCAATGGAGTCGTTGTTCCCAGTTGAAACCTTCCGAGCCTGGTCTATCAGCATTTTGGTCTTCTAAGCTCCAGCCAGAACCACCCATCAAACTCTGCTTACAGCAGTTTGGGCTTCTCTAGCCCACTTCTCCAAACTTTTCCAAACTCTTCCTGCAAACAAGTTCCCAAAGCTTCTGAACCACATGGTCAGTCACAGGATGACTCAATTCTTGGTACCAATCTTCTGTATTAGTCAGCTTTCCTGTTGCTTGGACAAAATATACAGCATTCATGACTTAAAGAAGGAGAGGCTTATTTGGTTCACAGTTTCAAGTTTGGTCAGTTCATGGTTTGTTGGCTCCAAGGCAGAAATGGCATGGTGAAAGGGTCTTGTAGAAGAAAGCTACTTGCCTCATGGCAGCCTGAAAGCCAACAGAGGAGGGAGAAGCCTAGAACAAGAATACCGTCTTCCAGATCATACCTGGAGTGACCCACCAGCAAACCCCACCTCTTAACAGTACATTTAGCTACTGAACTCATCAATGGAGAAATCCACTGGGGACTACAGCACCCCCATGATCCAATCACCTTCCAAACACATGAGGCTTTGGGGAGACATTTCAGGTCTAAACTATAACAATATTGTTTAACTTTTTGTTGAACAAGGTAATTTTTATGTTCTTCTATTAGCTAATTTAGACACTGTATATTTGCATAAAACTGCCAACCTATATATCTTTTCTTCAGTTTATCTCTTTGTCTGTTTCAACATGACAGAATCTGCCAGTTTGTAACAATTTGTGTTTCAGAAAACATGAGAGGTATTGAAGATATTACAGAATCTGCCACCTATCACTGAAAATAAACCAATCCATGAAATTAAAAAATTGATAATTGGGCTTCATTAAAATTAGAATTTTCTGCGTAAAAGACACTGTTAAGAGAATGCAAAGGCAAGCCACAGATCAGGAGAAAATATTTGCAAAATACATGTCTTAATTACTTTCTCATGACTGACAGCCAATACCCAACAGCCAGAATTTCAGTCTATGGTTGGCTGCCTCCAAGGCAGAAACAGGATGGCAGAGGGGCACAGCAAAAGAAAAGGTGCTCAGTCCATAGAAGGTCAGGAAGTAAAAAGAGAGGGGAAGAGATGGGGACGAGAACATACCCTTCCTGGTCATACCCACAGGAAATGACCTCGGCCAGGCTTCGCCTCCTAATACACATTCAACTAACGAGGTCATCAATGGATAAGTCCACTGATGAATATCTGACCCCACAATCCAATTACCTTCCACAAGCCTCACCTCTAAACATGTGAAACCTTTAGGGATATTCTTGATTTAAAGCATTATAACATATATCTGATAAAAGACATATCCAAAATATACAAAGAGCTCCTAAAAGTCAAACGTAAAAGAACCACTCAGTATTAAAAATGGGTAACAGATTTCAAAAGAAAAGATATGTTATAGTTATATATAGATGTCTCTCATGAGACTAATGAGCTCATAGGTGGGGATTTTGGAAGGAGGTTGAATTATAGGGGCTAATACCTGGCTTGCTATTAGTAGGTGGGGTCTGGCTGGAAGAAGCAGGTCCCTGGGAATGTGTCCTGGAATGAATGGTTTATCTTTCTCCCTGGCTCTTCCCCTCCCTTGATAACTCACTCTTTCTCTCTCTCTCTCTCTCCCTCTCTCTCTCACTCACTCTCTCTCTTTCTCTCTCTTTCTCTTTCTCTCTCTCTCCCTCTCTTTCTCTCTCTCTCTCTCTCTCTCTCCCCCCCCCTCTGCTTCCTGTCTTCAAATAAGCATATAAAATATACTTATCATTAATCATTGAGAACTTCAAATTAAAACAACAGTGACATACCACTATGTACCTATTGGAATGGCTAAAATCCAAAGCCCTGGTAATACCAATTGCTGGCAAAGATACAGAGTAACTGGAACTTCCATTCATTGTCTATCGGAACCCAAAATGGTACAAACAACTTAAAAGGTAATGAGGCAGTTTCCTACAAAGCTAAACAGTCTTACATGATCTAGCAATTGTGTTCCTGTTTACCCATATAAGTTGAAACCTATGTCCACATGTTTCCATTATACTGCATATATACAGATGGGTACACATATTAATAGTTTACATACATGTATTTCCTTTCTTAGAATGCCTAGAATCAAGAACTCCCTTGATGCAACAATCACATCTGACATCCAGTCCTTGTTTGCTAATACCACTCTACAATAAAAGAAATCAGGGCTCCTTGGAGATGCGCCTGATTCTAGGACCCAGGAGGGAAAAAAGTAGATGTGTCTCATCATGTTTTGGCTCTTAAATATCCCCCAAAGGCCATAAGTTGAAGACTTGGTCTCTTGCCTGTGCTGGTTTTGGGAGGTGGTGAGACCCTCAGAAGATGGGGCCCAGTGGAAAGAAGTTAGGTCACCAAAGCCATGGCCTTGAAGGACATATTGGGACCCAGTCCCTCTTGTCTCTCTTCTCTCTTTACTTCCTAGTCACCAGGCATTGCATTTGGGTGGTTATGAAGTGAGCAGTTTTGCTCTACTACAGGCTCCCTGCCATTAAGTTCTGCCTCACTGAGGCTCCAAAGCAATAGAGTCAGCCACACATGAACCAAAACCTCTAAAACCGTGAGCCCAAAGAAACTTGCCTTTCTGTAAGTTTCTCCTCACAGGTATTTTGTCACAGTGACAGTGAGCTGACTAATACAAATCTAGAGCATTTGGTATCACCATAAAGTGAGGATATACTCAGCAACAGCAACAAAACAAAACCCAAAGTGATAGGTGTGTGTAAAAGCATACAGGAGCCAAATGAAAGAGATCCCAACAGTCAAAGCTGGAAAAATTAGAAGCAAGATATAAAGTAGTACTGAATTCTAATCCAAAGTATAAAATAAATTTCCACAAATCTATACTGATACAAACAAATGATTTAATAAAATGAAAGTGAATAATGTAGAATAAGTCAAAATTACTTATGTAAATATTCTTCCCCTGAGGAGGTGAAACCTAACTCCCTATTCATTAAGAGGGGGCTTCGTATTTTTCCTTCCCATAAGTTTCCTGTGGAAAGAGGGAAAGGGAAGGTAATGCTACAGTGGAAAAACCTGACAAGCACTTCCTCAGCCAGGTGACTGAACTGAACACCAACAGTGAGGTTACATTAACAGCATGATGTAATATAATATACTACAGACGGCACTTTAACTCTGCAGGCTTCCTCTCAAGAATACAGCTCAGTCTTAACAGGAGAAAATCATGAGATGAATCCCAATTACTGAACATGCTACAAATGCCTGACCAATACTCCTCAACGCTGTCAAGGTCACTGAAAAGAAGGAGAGTCTGAGACAGCGTCACACACAAGAGTAGACTGTAGAAACCTGAGACTTTAATGTAATGTGAAATTCTAGAACAGATAAATATCATTAGGTAAAAATTAAGGAAACCTGAATAGAATTGGGTTTTAGTTAATAACCGGCTCATTTGTTGAAAAACACACCATACTAATGTAAGATGTTCTCACCAGGGGAAACTGGGTAATAGATATACGGGAAATCTCTCCATCATCTTTGTAGTTTTTCTCTAAATGTAAATGTATGCTACAATTAAAAGTTAACTTTAAAAAAACTTCCAAATGTTTTTAGAGTAGGGGGAAATATGAACAAAATTAGAAGCAAAAAGGATTTTAAAACAACAGAGAGAATCACTATTAAAAATACTATGTGAGGTTTTATGTTCACAAATTTTTAAATCTTGATAAATAAACACTTTAAAATTTCAGTGCAATTGATGCATTGCCAAAACTGACTCCAGAG